CCTCCTTTGTTGATACTAGGACCATATGTAGCATTTTCCTTGTCAACATGTACTTCAAATCCCAAAGCAGACATTTTTGTAGCTCTGAAGAAAAAAAATTATATATTTTAAACCAACTGTTATCCATTCTTTAGCTTTGTACCCAGATATGAAGAAACTGACTGTGCAAAGTGATTGCCAATTCTGTATACAAAGCTATGTAATACTTTTTTTTTTCAACATTAAATATAATAGCAGAAACCTACATACAAATACATCATGCTGAGTTACACTATAGCTTAAGCAAGCTTTTGTTGTGTGTTTTAGGTTAGCCTTTGATGCCTAGTCTACATGCTAGACATAAAATTATATCTACACTTGAATTCCTTTCCTATATGATCTGCCTGGCTTGATAGTAACACTGTGTTACTGATCGCTTAGCTCTTATATATTCATTAAACATAAGTTGCCTTTATATTTGACAGAAAGTCCATCAATTTTTCAGCATTAAGTGCATCATATCATTAAGGAAAATAAAACAATATAATATAATTATTCATAATATTTTTTATTATTAGCAAATTAAAATACTTTTTAAACCAACCAACCCCCCCACCCCCAAGAGGTGAAGCCACAAAATGCTTTAAGACTATAGCTGTTTCACTGTTAGTCAATGTTCCAACTTCATAGCAGATGGGTCACCATAAAACTACTGCTTCTTTCTTGTGCCTGAGGAAATCGCATCAAATGTCTTCACTGTCCTTTTTAAAAAACTGGTGATAAACATATTAGTCGTAGGAAATTCTTGAAGCTCACAGTTTTTATGCTCCTGACAATTATGAGTTTACAACAAATCTCTCATGTTTCATTACAATATAAATAATCTCTTTTGTCCAATTTTTACTCTTAGGTCACAGCATCTGCCGCCCTAAAGGACTGGGTTCAAATCCACATTACGGCAGATTTTATTTTCATAACTAATCCAACCCAGCCTAAAATGTATGCAGGTAATTTCAGGTGAAGCAAAGAAAAGATGACATAGCTCATCGAGTGCCAAATGGTCTGAAAAATTTGAGTCTATCATCATAAACTTTATGTACTATTGTTGTACTACTATTACTACTATCTTCATCATTGTCTCTTTTCTCTTCAATCCAAGTGTAACTATTTCAGTAATATGTCAAATGTGTTCCCGTTGCCCAGTTTTACTTGTGAAAATTCCTAGGATCATTAAAATTAGTATCAATTTATTTCACTGCCCAATTGGGTTGATTCATCAACTAATGCTAATGTAATAATGCTATAACTATAACTTAAATCCTTGGTATCCTGAAACAGTACGCAATTGAACAACTTATTTTTTTCCTCTTCCTTTTGTCTGTCAACTGTTATCTGTTTGTGCCTGAATCAAACACAACATAAACATCTACTTAAACAGTTAATATACTAGACATTTAAAAATGTCCTGTGGATTAAAGTAAGAACTGAATGAGGCAGTTCAGATCCTTTCGGATTTCACCTGGGATGTAAATATTTTTATACTTTTCGTTCGGTTTTTAAATCTTTTCATAATATTTAGTAATCAGTGCCATATTTTTGTTCTGAAGTAAAGAAAATGGCAACAAATGAAGAGATACATGATTCAGACATTTTTGTCATCAAACTAATAAATAAAATTATAATTATTATTAATATTAAATCAAAATCATCATTAATTATTTATAACTATTATAAGTAGTATCAAAGAAGTAAAAGGGCTATCCTCCGACTAACGGTCTCAGTCATATGTCTTTCCACCGACTACACCGCATACTGCTGAAAAGCTTCGGCCGAGTTAAAGTCACAGCCAAGAGGGGAGTTAACTAGATGGCTGGGACTCACGAGCAGCAGCTAATGCATCTCCTGCAGCTTCCTCCACTTTATTTCACAGCCATCTAGTTTAGCCTCTACTCTACGCTCAGATACTCTCGGCGGTGACGGTATAGTCGCCGGAAAGAGGTCTGCAATTTACATATGACTGAGGCCCTGTTAGGGTATTTTTTCGGCCTCGATAATTTGGGACCGTTATTCGGAGGATAGCTAACTAATAAAAGCATACAATGAGTATAGTATAGTATAGACGTATAGTAAAAAAAATGTAGCTAAGATTAAAAACTCAGTTTAATTAATTACCTTTTTATAATTAATCGCTATCAATGTATTGTTATTACAAAGTAGTACTTATACTGATACTACTTCGGTTGTTGTATGGACTACTCGTGCCGTCGATAACCATAACCGTTAGTTATACGAATGGAATGGATGCCGATTTGTGATTTGAGTAAATAGTAAAAAGTAAAATTATCAACAACTATTCACACTACTCAGCATGAATCGTGTTTACACAGCCTCAGTTTAAGTAAACTATGCTTATCGTCACACAAAAAAACAACACAACATTTCAAACTGGTTTATGTGATTCTATTAACAACAGTAAAAATAGTTTTCTACAACTAAACATTAACACGAGAAAACGATTTATGATTTACCATAGACAGATAAAGTCACAACCAGTTCGAAAACTTCGCCTGTGGTTACCAACTTTTTTTACACAGTGTGTAGTGGAATGTGATTGGCTTAACAGCAATCACATTGACCAATAAACGCTGCTGTCTATCCATACGTTGGCCAGACCAACAACTTAGTTGTCAGTCTCCTTCGATTTTTTTTTTTAAATAACGGGGGATCTATATAGGTTGCTTTCTGTGTTGAGAGGCAGACGAAGTGTATTGGGAAAGGGGGGGGGGGGGGGTGGTGGCTTCGTCGCAAAAGCGAAAATAGTCGTAGCTTAGTGCAGCAAAACCTGGCATATGATATCATAACGTCAAGTTTGAGAATGGCAGTAGAGGTAGTCACTACTGCTTTCCGCTGGCTTGATTACTGATTGAGAATCTGTTGTACACACACGTCGTAACTGTAACTGACTCACAGAGCATGTTGAGAAAGGTGCAAACAGACATGCTACATGCAGAGTGGCAAACATCGCTTTAGATGTCAAAGGTAGTTATCGTCCTTTCGATATTTGTATGTAATAAATGCCGGTGTGTTGGGAAACGAGCAGACAGATAGACTGACCGGTTCTGTGCTATTTGGTGGTGAATTGATGTATGACAAGCTAGATGTTGTAAGGGCCCTTTGGGAGCGCGTGAACAGTGCAGAGGCACAGATAGATTATTGCGGTCTGAGGAGAATGGCGCTGCGAGGAGTTACCCGGGGATCTGGCTGACGCCCAACACTCAGGGGAAAGGCAAAACAGATATATAATCAGACAATTTCAGGTATCATTGGAACGGGAACTCTTCGTTTGCTGCTGAAGATGGGGATGGGGTGTTTATAGGAGTGACCCTGTTGTCGATTCTTAATTCAGCATTCAATATTTAAAGTTACGGACCAGTTTACCTATTTGGGTGGAAACAACAGATATTTTGATACGCATTGGCAACAAAACATCATCTTTTGAAAAGCCTGAATGTAATATAGAACCCAAATACATATTTTTGAAATCAAGCTACTTAACGATTTTCTTTATTTTTACTGTTGTTTCTAACAAACGCTCCGTGAAAGCTAGAGAACCACGAAAGACATGGAACGGAAGTTAAAATCACTTGCTTAGGAAAGTGTTATGCAAAAAAAAAAAATTATATTAATTTAAGAAAGAATTAAGAAAAATGTCTTGACTACCGCTGGTATGAACAATTATAAGACAAAGAAGATGGCGATATACTGGGCCCTGATGTACCCGTATATGTTGAGCAAGGACTTCGAAAACAAACAAATGTGTCCAGGGTGCCGTGAGGATCTTGTAACTCATACCCCAAGTGGAAGTGAAAAGAGAATCACCAAACAATGAAATAGGAAACAAATGAACTGAAGAACCAGTACGTTTAAGATTAATCCAAGACGAACGTTGGTGAGAGGGGCTAAAGTTGCTGGACTGGATTCCATCCATGATATCGAAACGATTGCACATGATAGAATGGATGAGTTAGTGCAGGGAATGAAAAACAGAAGCAAGCCCTTTGTGATACATAATGGCACAGCATGATGAGTGATAATGATGACTGGCCGCTTTTGCACGTAAGCACTTGGTTATCTTGAGAGTGCAGACCACGTACATAATGCTGCCAAATAAATAAAGTTGTTGTACAAGAATTTCTCATTTTTGGAGTTGTGGGCTGAAAAGGTCTGAGGACTCCCTCCCCCTTTTTCTTTCAATTTGTTATCTAGGTGTTTTGCTCCTCACCCCCCCCCCCCCCCCGAATTTCTAAAATGAAGATGTCTAAAAATGTTTTGGCTTGGGGTGGGGGGAGGAGGGGGGGGGCGAGTCCCACTCAATGTTTTAGTCGTGGCAGCGCGCCTGTCTCTAACATGATATGCCGGATGCGCCAATGGCATGAAAATGGTCTTTTACTTGTTTACCTTAACTTGTTTACTTTACATATGAATGCATTATAAGTTTTCGTATTGTTAAAACAACAGTTCCCTGCTATGATATGTTTATTTAAAGGTACCTTGGTCGCAGAAGCCCTTTACGTAGGGGTGTCTTCGCAAAAAAAACATTAGGAGGGCTTTTAGCCCCTTTATACATTTTCTGGAGTGGGATCAAGGGGCCTAAGCTCTGTTTAAGTGAATACTAATAATGCAATACATGGAAAATAAATACAACACTGTATTTGAAATATTAATATGTGTATAAAAAAACGTAAAAAGAGCAATTGTATTTGTACATATAGAGCCTAGTGCTTAGACCTCTTACAAATTTAGACTGAGCAAACCCCCCCCCCACTCCCGTATTCTTTTGTGTGTGTGTGTGTGTGTGTGGTCAGAATTGAAAAAAAAGAACATCAGTGAGATGCAGAAATCGAGCCATTTTATTCGGGAATCCCGAAATTGTTAAGCGCAATCATTTACCTATACGCCACAGAGCCATTACCATAAACAAGAGCCGCTTTATTCTGTTAGCAGGTTAACACTGCGTCAAAATGGCGACCAGTGAGCTGGATAGTGATGTTTTCAGGCGACGATTTCAGAAGAAATTAGCAGATCACTTTGCAGATGAGTTAGAAACTGGTAGGATTTCACACTGAAATGTTCTTCTTGCGAGTGTTGAAAATGCGATTTAGGGTTATTTTAGTTTTAGGAACGCGACAGTACGCGCTGTCAATGTCCAGACCAGCTGATTACTCTGATTAGTGAAGTGATAGTTCCAAAGTTCTTCACGAAACTTTATAGCTTTTTAGTACTTTTACTTATTGAACCATTCTGTAAACCTTCATATCTTACGGATAGCACACTGTAAATAATTATATCACAGATTTAGTCATATGAAAAGTAATCCTTGTAAATATACAGTTTTACAACCACAAGTTAGGGGAAAAAACCGTCAGTAATTTGAATAATTTTGGGCTCTCCTCCGAACTTCAACCCGATATTATAGCTATGGCGGCCATAACATATCCTTACGGGGCTCATGCATATGTAATATGCGGACTTTCTGCCCAGGAACAAATTGCGGCAAAATTAGGATTACTTGACAATTTCAAGAGACGCAACATAATATATAATGTCTAACATCTACAGCTGCCAGCTTTTCATTCGGTAGAACATTATTGCTTATCTGTGTCGAAGCTGATGATCTACCTGCCATATTTGCCAGAAATAAATCCTAATTTTACCTATCATTAAGGACCTCTTAGGGTATATTTTTTTAACGTGATCATTCAGACCCATCATTCGGAGGAGAGCCGGGATCCTTTACTATAGAACTAAATTGAATGTAAAATAATACAAAGAAAGTTATGTTACAAATGACAGGAGGCATCAAGCCTGAACAGTCATCAAGCCATTTGCCTCATGCTCAGAAGGTCATGGGTTCGTTTTTACGGCTGTCTTGTTCAGTTTGCGAGTCCAGTTTTTATGCAAATCATCACGGGGGCTGCGAAGTTCATGCTTTGTGTGATGCTTTTGGCAGGTCGTTAGCCTTCCAATGAAGAGAGACTGAGTCATTTGGGATAAAACTCAGTGCAATGAAATCAGTCCTCTCACTTAAGATCTATTATAGGGCCCCAAATCAAGGGAACAGAAATTGGAGACCAGGTGCTTGTAATTATTCTAATTTGTGTAGGCAGCACAGTCGCTAGAACACTTATCTGTCATTCTGGTGGTCATAAGTTTGAACTTCCATAGAGGCAGGTTTTTAAAATTGATCATGGCCTAAAGATAGGTACCAGAAAATATTCTATAAAGTAAAGGTCCAGCCCAGCCTAAAATAGGTGCCAGGCAATGTCCTGAAAAATAAAGGTGGCCACCGTGATGTTGCCCACATGACCCATTGAGTGCTGATTGATTGACCGTGATGCTGTCCACATGACCCATTGAGTGCTGATTGATTGACCGTGATGCTGTCCACATGACCCATTGAGTGCTGATTGATTGACTGTGATGTTGCCCACATGACCCATTGACTGCTGATTGATTGACCGTAATTTTGCCCACATGACCCATTGAGTGCTGATTGATTGACTGTGATGTTGTCCACATGACCCATTGAGTGCTGATTGATTGACCATGATGTTATCCACATGACCCATTGAGTGCTGATTGATTGAACTTAATGTTATCCACATGACCCATTGAGTGCTGATTGATTGACCATGATGTTGTCCACATGACCCATTGAGTGCTGAATGATTGACTGTGATGTTGCCCACATGACCTGTTGAGTGCTGATTGATTGACCATGATGTTGTCCACATGACCCATTGAGTGCTGATTGATTGAACTTAATGTTATCCACATGACCCATTGAGTGCTGATTGATTGACCATGATGTTGTGCACATGACCCATTGAGTGCTGATTGATTGAACTTAATGTTATCCACATGACCCATTGAGTGCTGATTGATTGACTGTGATGTTGCCCACATGACCCATTGAGTGCTGATTGATTGACTGTGATGTTGTCCACATGACCCATTGAGTGCTGATTGATTGACCGTGATGTTGTCCACATGACCCATTGAGTGCTGATTGATTGACTGTGATGTTGTCCACATGACCCATTGAGTGCTGATTGATTGAACTTAATGTTATCCACATGACCCATTGAGTGCTGATTGATTGACTGTGATGTTGTCCACATGACCCATTGAGTGCTGATTGATTGAACTTAATGTTATCCACATGACCCATTGAGTGCTGATTGGTTGACTGTGATGTTGTCCACATGACCCATTGAGTGCTGATTGATTGACTGTGATGTTGTCCACATGACCCATTGAGTGCTGATTGATTGACCGTGATGCTGTTCACATGACCCATTGAGTGCTGATTGGTTGACTGTGATGTTGCCCACATGACCCATTGAGTGCTGATTGATTGACCATGATGTTGCCCACATGACCCATTGAGTGCTGATTGATTGACTGTGATGTTGTCCACATGACCCATTGAGTGCTGATTGATTGAACTTAATGTTATCCACATGACCCATTGAGTGCTGATTGATTGACCGTGATGTTGTCCACATGACCCATTGAGTGCTGATTGATTGACCGTGATGCTGTCCACATGACCCATTGAGTGCTGATTGGTTGACTGTGATGTTGTCCATATGATCTATTGAGTGCTGATCGATTGATCATTTATGTTGCCCACATGACCATTGAGTGCTGATTGATTGACTGTGATGTTGCCCACATGACCCATTGAGTGCTGATTGTTTGACTGTGATGTTGTCCACATGACCTGTTGAGTGCTGATTGATTGACTGTGATGTTGCTCACATGACCCCTTGAGTGCTGATTGATTGATCAATTCAGAATATGAGTCTAGCATCATATGCCCCATGCTCCAGTGGCATATAAAAAATCCTTTACATTTTTGTGACCTAGTTTGTTATTATCTGGTCATTTTGTCTGGTATTCTCATGAGGTATGTATATTTGTTTCTAATTCTTGTGACTCAGCATGATCTTAGCGTTCCTGTTTGTTTCATTTAACAGAGTCATATCCGTCAAGATCTTTATAATCAAATGTATGCTTTTTCATTTAATTCACCAGATTTGTCAAATTTTGAAAAGAACATTCAGGAAAAGGATGGACAGGCTACAGTGAGGAAATCACCATTTTGTCTACAGAATATTCTGTGGCTTGGCACTGCCGTTGCTGTGTTCTACTTCAGTGATTTCGTCAATGTCCTAGTGTATGATCTGCGCATCCAGAGGTGACAATTTTCCCAGTTTCTTTGTTTTTTTTTAAGTAAAGGTGTTCATGTCTGGGTTTCAGGGCCCCATTTAGGGGGAAGGGGGGAGGGGAGGGAAGCCCACTGATCCAAACCTAGCATGTCATAAAAGGCAACTGATTATGAGTTTCTTGAAATTAGGTGTGTGTTGTGCCAAAAGGCACAAACATCGCAGCCTAGCTGTAAACCACAATACAACCCCCTCCCCCCTCGTGTGGGTTCGGGACCCCATTATGGGAAGCAAAAAGAAAGGACCCACTGTCCCCTAACAGGTATGTCGTATAAGAGTTGCAATTTAAAAAATTTGTTTATTCTCCGCTTGAGTTCTGGGGCCCCACTGTGGGGAAAACAAGAATAGACCCACTGCTTTCCCAACAAGCATGTCGTAGGAGTTGACTAACTGGCGACTTCCTTCAAAGTCGGAGTGCATCTGCCCGAGCGGCAAGGAACAACCAGCTGCATACACAAAATGTGGTAAAATGGATGTACACACAAAACTCAGGCGCTTAAACAAAGCCAGAGTCCAAGTGGACGAAAAAAATGACTTACCGCAGGAGCTTACAGCCAGTGAACAAAGAAGAAGATTGTTTCTTTGTAGTCAGAGTACAAGTCCTGAGGGGCGAGGAACCAATAGTCTGCATAAAAATAAGCCAGATTTGTAAAACGGATATGTACACAACATTAAGGTTCTGGAACAAGACTAAAGTCTGGAGGTGAATGGACAACAAAAACTTTCCGCGGGAGTTTACCGTCAGTGAATGCAAAGAAGAAGTCACACAATAAAAAAAAAAAAGTTCATCATAATTTCTATAAAATATTTCTCACAGGCAGATGACATTAACATTTTTGCGTCCCTAAACTTCATATACCTTTGCTCATTTTGAGTTTACTTCTTATGGTTTAAAATTAAAGTGTTAACAATTTCAGTTACTTTACTTTCCATGAATTTACAAGTGTTATTCAATGTTATCTTTTCTGTGTTGACTGCTAAAATGGTTTTGCTTGCAAAAAAGGCTTTGATTAATGTTCAGTCATTTTTTGGAGTAAAATGATTGCCTGGCCCTAGTGGTTGAACTTGCAGTTGTCAACATTCTGTAAGTTATTGGGTTGTTTGATAATATTTTTATTTTCTGTTTTGCAGTGCATGGTTCTGGATTGGAGTTCTGTCTATAGGGCTCCATCTTTGCATAGCTGTTTTTCTCGTGTTCTGGCTCACATTGTGGAAGAATGTCAGTACTGATGAATGGGAAACAAGATATCCTTCAGCTGTCCCTGTGGCAACAGCTTCCTTAGTTCTGGGAATAATTTGGTATGTTTATTGCCTCTTTTCTAATCATTTGGTATATTTAGAAATTTTCAGTACTGTTATGTTTAAAAGCAACACTTCAAGCTTCAGAATTGTAAAGCAGTGTTAGCTGTTGAATCTGTCATAGAACTGGGTCAGCTAAAAGTGAGTTTTATTCTCATTGGTACTTTAACCTCACCAGTCTTAAAAGTTACTTTTTTACTGTTGTTAAACCAGGATTATTATTACTTTAAATAAGATTTGTTAGAAGCATGAAAATTTAGTTGTGTGAATAGAACAAACTACAGAGCTTTCCTAATCTTTGATTGGGTTTTATGAAGCAAAAGTTATTGTTAATTTTAAAGATCATCTTCATCTAACATCAGACATGACCATAAGTGCTCCGATCTCCTCTTTAATATGTCTCCAAGTGTTTTTAGCCTAACAACTCGCATTCTGTTCTGGCTGCTGTTACGATGGGTGGCTCCTGCATGGTTTTTCTGCCGTGCTGCTCCAAATGGTACACCTAGGGTATAAAGTCTTTTCAGTGAAAAGAAACTGAAAGCCTCACAGTGTTTAGTCTCTCATATGTCATTGATGATGTCTCTCCTGTTTGTAGATGACCCATTCCTGATAGTAGCACTGCCAGCCAGGGCATCTGCTCTCTCATTGCCTTTCACAGTAGCATTCCGTGGGACAAAAATAAAGGTGATTTTGCGAAATGCAGCGTGCTGAATTAGATGGAGCCATTGTTTCCCTATGTACCCCACCTTTATCTTCTGTAGCATGCTTATTAATTCGCTGAGCAAACATGCCTGAGTTTTCAGCCATTCTAGGGCCTTTGTCACATCCATGACCTCCATTGTCATGCTGCTGGTGGTAGAAGCAAAGGCTCCACTATCTTCTTTGATGACTTTAGTTCTTGCCTTGAAATTTCATGCACTTTGCTTCTGAAGAATCACAGAACCATTTGTAAATATGACAGCATCTTCCTGTGATGTTTGTTCCTCCACCAATACTTTCACTTCTGCATCAGCTATTGGTGGCACCAAATCATGGCACTGTCTTGTCAGCGTGACAACCATCAGGAGTAAGGCAAGGCTGTGTTCTTTCACCTTTACTTTTTATAATTTTAATGGACAATATTAATAAAGTAGATATAACACCACCAAATGTCGATAAAAATGAGGGCTTCAATGAGCTGCTCTTTGCCGACGATCAGTGCATATTCCACAGTGAAAAACTGCTGCAGGACCACATTAATCAACTACACAACAGTTGCCTTACACATCACATGAAGATCAATATTGAAAAAAACAGTTGTCATGAGAATAAGTAGAGAGCAACAAACAAGCGACATAAAGATCAGAGATAAAAGTCTGAAGTGCAAGAATTTGAATACATGGGAAGCATGTTTACACACAATGGTAAAATAGAGAGATAGAAGCAAGAATCCAACAAGTCAACAATGTCATGTACCAGCTTGCTCCATTTTTGAAACACCCTGTTATCTCAATAGAGACAAAAAGACAAATTATAAATACAATATTATACCGACTTTTGGTTACAATGTCAGACTTGGACATTGACCCAAAAAAAAACTAACCACCTGTGAAATGAGATGTTTGAGAATGGTTGTGAATAAAACCAGAAGATATCAAATGAGAAACGACGTGATCACAAGAACTGTTGGAACAACACCCATCCTCAAATTTATTGAGAATCAAAGAATGAAATGGTTTGGCCATCTAATGAGAATAAAACCAATGATGCCAGCAGCAAGAGCGTACAACCTAAAAATGGAAACATCAAGAGGCAGGGGAAGACAGAGAAGAAGATAGATTGATGGAGTCACTGACACCTTGAGACTGCATAACATCACGGCATATCAAGCGACTGAGCACGCCCTGGTTCGATTGCCGATATCCTAATGAACTGCGATGCCTAGTGGCATCAGGACAAACAACATAAATGCCCAGTCTCTCTCATCAGACATTTTAGTGAGTTGATACCAGTTTATGTAGTGCACTTGCTGCATTAGCACCAGTTACATTCTCTGAAGAATTCTTGAATACCAGTACCAAGACTTATTGTTGACTCTAGTGGTCTTTGTAGTGTTAATACATTGATGTTGTCATAAAGAGCAACACAAAAGTCTTGCTGACACTGTTGCCTCCAAGCCCCATCCTAAAGAATATGTGTCTTATGTTAAAAACAATTTTGCCTATTCCTGTTCTTTTATAAACAGTATTAACAAATATATTCATTGATAATTTCAGCTTGTGTGTTGGGCTGTGGCCAGTCTGGGGATTCCTGACACCAGTGATACTGCTAGTATTGTTAATGGGAACTGTTGTAGTTGTGGCAATGGTTGGATAATGCTTTGATGCATCAAACCTGTGATTTAATTGCCAAGCTGTGTACTGTGATTACAAACTTATTATCATACAAATAATTTCTCTCACCTTCATCATCTATAAAATGGACACTTTTTTTTTTTTAAGTTATCACTGTTAATCTTTTGTATTACTTTTAAGTGTATTCACTGAAAAATATATATATAAAGAGGGATTAATAGTTATTGATAATGTGTTATCTTTTTACTGTGAATTTTGAACAATCGTTTTCTAAAACACTAATGGTTTTTAAAAAAGTGCACTGGTGAAGAGATGTGAACAATTACTTTGCAACAATTTTCCTTGCCTTTGGAACACATTCTCTGTGACTTCACGCCATGAGAGATGCATGACCTGACTAAACAAAGCAGAGGACCCATCTTGAGACACACTGAGTACAATGTGCTAGCTGTGTATGTCCATAGACCAGTCAGCTTGGTCACAAATATAATCACAGCAATAGGTCATTACCAGACTACTATGAGAAAGTTGACATCTCTGGCCTATGGGTTTTGGCTTACAGTTTTGCAGTTCCAACACACTGGGTTCGATTCAGCTGTAGGCAATTTGGCAGGAGACCACTATGCACTTGTTTTAACAGTGATAAGATTGACTATTGAAAAAGCAATGGATCAAACTACTGAATGTAAAACTGTCTAGTAAAACTGCAAACAGCCAACAGATGCTGAGGTTGTTTTATGATATACTGTTAAAGGACATTGCAACTAACTTGTTGCAACTATTGTTCTAGAATAAATCAAAGACAGACTACCAAGCTTATAGCGGAAGTAGACATGGCTGTTTGAGAACGAATGAAGAACAATGTACCTGGTGAATACTTTCCATCCTCCCAGAAGTTTTTTAAACTATCACTATCATCCAGTGCCTTGCCTGCAGTAAATGTATCTCCAGCAATTCATGTCCTGAGCCTTTGTTGTACATTCTGCTCAGCTGCATCATTTTGTCTGTTTATATAATATCTTTGACACTATTAAGCTAAACTTCTGCCTCCATTTTTTAAATTTAATTTTAGTAAATTGTTTTAAATGTGGATTTGCTTTGTGTACTGGGCTGAGATTCTTTGAGTGTAATTTAAAGAAGACTGGAGCACATTTGGAAGTTTTCATGTGCAGTGAAAGTCATCATTAACAACAGTGTATACTAGTGTGTGTGTGTCAGCTCTGTGGCTAAGTCGATGCGAATGCTTCATAATGCCGTGGTACCGGTTCAATCCCAGCTGCGGGCCATGCGCATTGCGTTGGTTTAGACAGTGGTATCAGGGGGCCAACTGTCCAGAAAGCAATGGCAAACTACTGGACGTAAATTTGCCTAGAGAAACCACACAACAGCCAGGGGCTGCTGGGGTTGGTTCTGCAACGTCCTGTAAAAGATACGCAACTAACCTTAACCTTATACTAGTGTGTGTTTATAAGAGAGAGAGCTGTCCCAAATCCCTATAGAATCAGTTTTATTACTTCTTGTCATTGTGTATATTTTCAAACAAGTGTGACCCTAACAGGTGAATAATATACATATTGTTTTTTCTGTTGTCAGCATTGAAGGAATTTAGTTTACTTTAAGACAGTTTTACAAGTATTGACAATTTAGAATGAATGTAAAGACACGTGCACAAGAGAACAAGTGAATTCCTTAATTTTATAAGCAGTGTCTGTTCCTGAATGTTACAAACAATGTAAATGAGTTGTGTCTGTATATATTTATACATGTTTACAGTTATCATGAATATTAAACATTTGTATCCAAATGAGTGCATTTGGTTGGGTAGCTATTTGAGGTGTATGAGGGTTTTACATGTATATGGATTTTCTGGTCAGAACATTCAGATGAGCGAGGGAATGGACAAGCTGATAGGTTAGTTGCTGCCGCACCTCTGGGTGGTGAGCTGCTTTATGATGATAAAGCAGACGTGAATGCTCTCTAGGATCAAATGTTCAGTGCAGTAAAACAAAGAACCCATACACTGAAAGACTAATTCAAGGCGGGATGAGTAGAGGTTCTCAAAGATATTAAAACACTGAGGGGGAAACATAGGCAGATTTTTTTTCGCAGTTTGCAACTGCTACTATTAGCATGTCGACTCTTGGCTATGAAGAAGGGGACGGAGCACATAAGGGAATATCCTGAGTGCAGTAATGCCGATTCTTGATTGATTCATTCATTTATAAGTAAATTATTCCTACAAATTTTTTGAAAGAAATAAAATACTGATATGTCCATTTGTCCTTCATTTGATGTTGCTCATAAATACTGTCCATGATTAAATGACATATTGAATCTTGTTTCTAAGAAGGCAAACCCCGGAAAAAAATGCCAAATAAGTTGTATATGTTGGCCAAAAGGCACACATATTGCTGTAAATGGGCACAAGGCAGTTACGTCTTTGGATGAATGAAGAAGATGAAGAATCTTGTTTCTCAGTCCCTTGAAATATCCAGGCTACTACCTTTATATAATGCCAGAGAGAAGCAGCAACATATTCAAAATTTATATTTCTTCTTCAGCATTTTGAGCTCTTGAGGTTCATTGCTGCAGATATCGCCCACCCCCATTAATTTCTGTGATTTGGCCTTTTCTTTCCAGTTGGTAACTCCAAGTGCTTGTAGCTAGAATTCATATTTATTGCAGATTATTCGGCTCTCAGGCTTTTTGAGTCTGTCTACTGAGCATATACCAACTGTGAACTCTGCTGGCAAGTTCTGCTTCTTTGTCCACTTCTGGACTGTCTTGTTCCAGAACATGTGTTTTGAATACTCATCTGTTTTACATCTCTAGCTTGTTTGCGTGCTGACAGTTAGTTCGTCAGCTCTCAAGCATATATACTGAGACTTCGTAGGAAACACCCCTCAATTAGTTACCTTTTATTACATTACAGTCGGTGTCTGTGACTTGGGCGTTGCGAATGTGCTTCTTAATGCTGGAGTACCGGGCTCGATCCTTGCTGCGGAATATTTGTCTTGTGCTGGTTTTAACAGTGGCACTGAGAGCTGACCATTCAGTAAGCACTGGCCCACTACTGAAAGTAAAATTTGCCTAGAAAAACCACAACAGTGCTAATAAATGCTGGGGTTAGTTCTGCAATGTCCCGTAAAGGATAGACAAATAACTTTTTTGTCGGCATCTGTGGCTTAGGCATTGCGAACAGGCTTTCTTAAATTGGGGTTCTGGGTTCGATCTCAGCTGCGGGCTTTGCGTTGGTTTCGACAGTGATATGGCGAAGCCGACCGTTCAGAAGCAATGGCAAACTACTTGGAAAAACAACAACAGCCCAAAAAAAAAACATAAAAAATACTTGGGTTGGTTCTGCAGTGTCCTGTAAAGGATGCACAAATAACTTTTTATTACATACTTGTTAGGGGGCAGTGGGTCTATTTTTTGTTTCCCCCAAAATGGAGTCTTGGAACCCATACATAAGTAGTCTTTATCAGTGAACTGGCAGATTCCTTTGCACTTAAATCTTGTATCTTTCATAAAGATACTCTGCTAGGACACACTCATGTCCTTGGTGAAGAAATGTTCTTCATGTAGCCGCTCTCCTCGCAGTAGTCGCTTTTATGTATTCCAGTCCCTAGTGTTAATTGGAAGTCAAATCAGTACTGCTTTATGAAGTAGAAACACAGAAAATGTTAAAAACACTAGCAATTTATTAACTTAGTATGCAGCACAGAAGGAATTTCCATGGACTTCCAGCCAGTATGGTGGATATGCAGGCTTGCTGTTTTTGGTGGTGGCAAGGTTATGCTTCTGAAAATAGTTAACCATTGCAACTTCCTCAATATGGAGACTGAAAGGATATAGTTCTGTCGCCCAGCTACTGAGTTAAGTACATAGTGCAACACTGAGCTGTGGATGTCATTTGGAATGCTTCTCAACTGTGCCCAATGTAGTTTGTGTTGTGAACTGCTGATTCAGAAAATGGTGATTGGCCCGTTGCCAGACAACTGGTGGTGCATTATGCGATTAATTGCACATGCAACTACTGATCTGTTGTACCTGCTGCTTTGCTCAACGACGAACTTCATTTCTAGTGTGGACAGTTTGTTTTGGCACTTCTGATGACTGCCTTAGGCATTTAATGTGTGTATGTAATTGACTTTGCTGTGACTGTGTCAATGTTTTCGCAAGGGACAGTAATGGATATTCTGTTCGATTTTCATTGGAACAGGAACGGAGCAGGAATGGGGTGACCCGTTTGCTATGGAGAATCTGATTACCTGATATAAGGAATTGTAACTGTATGAAAGAATCACAAATGTAGAGCTTAGAAAAAGGTCTTAACAAATTTCAGTGAATCAAGAAGGTAGAAAAGAATGTTGGTTGTTGACACATTACATCGTAATAACAGACTTTAAAAAAAAAATATTATTTGCCCTAAATTGTTTCCACAGAAGCAAAGCAAACGTAAAAGAAGTTTTCCTGTGGAAGGGTTTAGGGAAATCTTCATATGTATGCATTGTTTCCTGCTCACAAAGAGCATCAGCTGCTGGCAAGTGAGCCCGTGAGTGAGTCTAGTGGACATCCATCAAATCTGTATTTTCTGGAAGAGAAGCCAAATCAACCACAACCTTCAAGCAGATGAAAAAGGAAGATACAACATAATGACCTTCTAACACAGATCAAACAGGGTCAACTCATGGGGGGGGGGGGGAAGTGAAGAACACACTCCCCTGTACATTCCATGACACCAACTTTGAATTGTTGGCTGTTCCTCAAACACAAAATACTGAAAGGGACCTTTAAGAGAGTAGCACATGATGGTTGTTTCTGCACTTGCAAAGAAGCCTTCGTGAAATGCTTCCAACAAAGGCAAGACTGCTTGGGAAAGTGTATACAGTTCTAATGTAGCCACTCTGAATGGAATTAGGATTTCAGACCACCAAGCGAATAATCATATTTGTCATCATCATCATCATCATCACATCAGGTGCCTTGCCGACTGGCGTGGGCGATCCTGCCTCTCCACAA